TAACCATTCAAAACAAAATTTAATTCAATCTTTTGTAAGCTTGAACCATGTTGTCATCAATCACCAAAAAGGAGGAGATTGAAAGTGCATTAATCCCCCTAGTGGGTTTTGGTGATTAATGACAAATGTGGTTAAGGGACTAATGAGTTCATTGAGTGACTTTCAGGTGCATTAGTCCAAGGTGTGGAAGATGAATGCTTGGAGACCCCCCAAAAAGTACAAAATCAAAGCGGACCGGAACTCGAGAAGTGCATAGGATAGTTTATCTTCTGAAATCGAGTTTTTAGGAAAAACCGTACTCTTAAGAGGGGTTCCAGGTGATGCTCTGAGATATATCAAGTGCTCTTAGTGTGAACCAAGTGTCAAGTTTTCCTAGGAGTCTTTTTTTTTTTTGCAATACTCCATCTGTCCAAAAATGCAAGTCCGGAACTTCCTGTCTTTCAGGTCCAGAAGTTCCGGTCTTGTGAAAAAGATTTTCCTAAGTATAGTCCGGAAGTTCCGGTCTTCCAGGTCCGGAACTTCCTGTCTAGTTTCCAGTTCAAATTTGTGAGTAACTGCTAGATGACGTCACCTAGCCGTTATACATATACAGCTCGTTTCCAGATCGTTCCTTGGCCATTCCACTTTCACTTTTCTAACCTAGAGCTATTGCTAGCCTCTCCCAAGTGTTTCTTGCCTTCTCCACTCAATCTAGAGCCTAATTCATGTGTGAATGAGAGATTGAGAGGGAGAGAAGAAGATTTGGAGATGTGTGAAGACTAGGATCTTGGGTGAGCACTTGGAATATCTCGTGGGCTGTCATCTCGGTGCTTATTACTCTTGGAGATGATCTCCTAGACGGTTAGGTGTCGCCCGCGAGAATCCGTTGCATATTGTGGATGTCCCGGGTAAGTTTGTGAAGGATTTCCTCTCCTCCGAAAGGGAACGAGGTAAGTTAGTGAAGTTCTTGTGCTGAGATTCTAGAGGCTTTCCAAGTAAAGTAATCGACACTTGTGGTGGATTTCTAGAAATAGGTTGAGTTGGATCTTGGTGGTCACTCAATTCTAGAAATTTGCCTAGGGATGTTTGGGGTTGAAGGCTGTGGATTTCCTCTGGGGTTTTTGCACAAGTGAGGCAAGGGGTTAATCGAGACCCAGCTCTTTGGAGCTCCTCAACGGAGAGTAGAATCGCAAGATCCAAACTTCGTAAAAAAAATTGCTCTTGTCTCTTTCTGTGATGTTTCTGTGGATGATTCTGTGATATATCCTCTGCTTAGAATACCTGTGCACCATCTTGTGAAGATTGGCTTAGTCTCTTGTTTTGAAATTTGAATTTCATCTCTATTCTGTTACCCGGAAGTTCCTTTCTTAGAACACCGGAAGTTCCGGGCATGGGAGGCCGGAAGTTCCGGAGTTCCTTACCAGGAAGTTCCGGATCTATTTGAATTTTACCGCTGTGATTTGTTTTTAAGTTTTCAGGGACAGCCTATTCACCCCCCCCCCCTCTAGGCTTCATCAGCGCGTTCACTTGCGTGATGTTTAAATGTAATAATTGTTAGTGGATGATGACGTGGCACATTTGCATGATAAGCTTTAGGATCTAGTGGGTTCTAACTTTATAATAAGAGAAGATTCCCTATTCATACAATAAATTTGGCATTTTCCCCTCCATATGTTCAAATAAATTTAAATTGGTCTTTGCGTGATGATAAATATCAACATGTTGCACATCTTGATTTTTTTTTCTTTTTATATTGGCCCTTTGCCACTTTGAGGTCAATTACCATGGTACACTAAGGATTATTATCTTGTAACATCTACATAGTTGCTTAAAAAGTAGCGCCATGATATCAATAAGTTACCACCTTATGAAAACGATTTACTAGATGAACCCTGAGTATTATATAATCATATCAGTTAGATTAATTAGGACACATCATTTTTATCTAACATACGATGGATTACCATAGACATGGTTCCTAAGTTGTTTAATGGTATAATTTTTCACAAAACTTTCTTTATCAACATTTTTTTAAAAAAAAATCAACTTTTTAATATTTACTTCATCTATTTATGTCAACTTAGTTTCATGCATCATCCATTAGCACTTCAAAATGCACCCTAATAACATATATAATTAGGCATTAGGGTGGAGAAATTGGCATATAATCATATAATCATATACATGACGAATTCTAGTTTTGTTTGGTTGATGTACTATATAATAATCATGTGCAATGTAAAAATTGACATATAATTACTATAATGACATGCTAGACTACAATCAATTATCGTAAAACATAATTTTAATGGAAATGGAATTGATCTACTCATCAAACACATATACAAACTAATTCTATTTCTTTAGAGGATCTTATTCACAAATAACGAAAGAATTGATAGGATTCTAATTTGCGTAGAGGATTTTTTTTAGATAATGGAATATAATATCCCGTTACATAGAGGATTTGATTCGAGAAACCAACACCTTATTCTAAATTCATGGAAAATTTGATTCAGGAAGAATTAAGAGTTGAGGTCGTGTCCCATATGCATTGGTGCTGTTCAGCAGTGCTGGCTGCAGCAGTCAGCAACCTTATCTTAAAAATATGGCAAAGTTTGCCCATGGGCCCACTTGTCAATCTCTCTTTCTCTTTTCTTCTTCTTCCTCTCTTTCTCTGTTCATCTCTTTCTCATTGCGCCGCTGCCGAGCTCTGCCATGGGCGAGCCGTCGTGCATCGTCGCCGTCGACGGTGAACCCCGGCTCTAGTGTCGACCAAACCGAGAGAGGAAGCCCTCAATCTCTTCGTCGCCCTCAAATCCCTCGCCGGCCATCAAGAAGACAACGCACGCTGTCACCGTAGAGCTATCTCCATCTCTGTCTCACCACCGTTCCATACTCACCTTAACATGCCGAAGATTTTTCCTTTTAATTCCATCCTCTCTCGTGCATCGGATCGACGGGAACGCCGTCGTGTCATCGCCGGCCTTGGAGCGTGCTCTGCGCGTCGCCGCCTTGACGTCGTCGCCGTTCCGGGTGCAGTGGACCGTTGCAGGCCGAGCCACCACGCCATCAGCTTCACCTCAACCTCCTCTCCATTTACCCCCAAGTACCCCATCCAATGGCGTAGCGATCTGGGAGATTGGCATCATCTTCTCCAACTCCGGCCGCTGAGCTCCATCTTTGATATCTCCCTCTCCGGTGAGTCCCAATCCGATTCCTTGCCATGGTAGCCTCGCATGGACCTCTCTAACGCGAAAGACATGCATGCATGGCAGTCCTTTGAAGAAATCGAGCCATCACCGTTCATCCAAGGTGAAGCGCCACCGCCGAGATATTCTGCGAGCCATCGTTGACGACCAAGCTTTGCCGACCTCATCCGTGCGCTGGGATGCCGCCGTGCGTCATCGCAGTCGGCGGTGAACCCCGGCGATGCACCGCCGCGGCCGCCCCGCCGTGGCCGAGCCATCCTAGCTCGGACCGGCCACCGTCGCAAGGAAGAATGGGGAAAAGAAAAGAAGAGAGAGAGGAAGAACACGTGTCCAGGGGCATTTTAGTACCTGCACAGCTCTTTCTCTCTCCATTTTGACTGAAAATAATAAAATAATAGGAGGAGTGTCCAGCAGCTAATTACCACTTTTTTGCAGTGTCCATGAGCAAATACACGATCTTCGGGTGTCTCACAGCAAAGGCCGCAATTTTTCGGTATCCTATAGCAAATTTTGCCAAAAAATATCCATGCTTTTACGCGTTACACGGCCTGTAGCCAACATTTTCTACCACCCTCCATTGGTTGCAGGGGCTAGAAATGGAAGCCTGCAATATTTTCACTTTTGGTATATTTTTCTTACACTCTATATCCTTTACATTTTTCCCTTAATGTTATTGTGGCACTGTGTTCTTCATGGATATGCTTCTCTAGTATCATATTGACTGATGCCATTCACTTAATCGAAGATGATAACAAATTAAGAATGTGATGTCCAAACTTAAAAAAAAAGCCAACAAAGAGAATATATCCAAATGAAAATATGTGTTAAATAGATCGAAGAAAAACTAGGGTAAAAGAAGGGGTTCATAATTAAAATTCACTCGAAACTGAGTCAGAAACAACAAGGGTCAAGAGCGAGCCACTTTTTTGGAAGTGTAAGGTGATGTTCTTTTCTCCCAAAGATGAAGATAAAGATAAAAATTAAGTATTTTACACAAAATGAGGTGGTATTAATGTATGATTAATTGAGTTTTAATTATTACAAGCTTGAAAAATAGATTAATTTGATATTTTAGATCAATTTTCATATAGAAAGTTTTCGCACGAAACACATCGTTTAGCCGTTTGAAAAGCGTACCACGAGTATCCAAAATTTCATCCACTCTTTTCAGTATAAACAAACGAGACCTAAATTTCATATTGGGCAACATATTTTGACCAAGATTTCATAATGGACTAGGGTTAAATAATGTTTTTACTTAACACCATGCAACTTTTCTCAGTGAACTGGGGGTGAGCAAAACTAGAAAATATGTGAGAGAACTTCATTTGATTTACACAAAGGATATAATTATAAAAAGCAAAATATTTTATGTTTTCTTTGTTCTTTTCGGCGCGAGTGGTAACTGGTAACTAACTAGTTCTATTTTCTATTATATTTTTATTCATTTGCCCTCATTTTGTGCCACTTTAAAACATGTTCACAACATTATTTTAGTGTTATTTTCTGAAAAAAGTTGTTTTGTGATTTGCTATTTTTAACGATATTTATCTTAATAATACTATAGCACTAAAAATGATGATTTAAACTAGCTTTTTTTCTGACAACTCTTTAATGTGCTCAACCCTAGTTCAAAGTGCCAACTAGTGAAAAGATACGTGGTGCTAAGTAAAAATGTTGGTTTGTCTTTACCCATTGTGAAACTTTCATCAAATGTGAAATTTATATATACTTTTTATTTTTTTTAATGGAGCTCAGCGTGGGATTGTGGGAATGATAAGACTTTCCAGAGGCCCTAAGAATTGGGCCGAAAACTCCCAAACCCAAAGCCCTCTCCGCCCTTCCGCTCCCTTCTCCGGCTCTCCGCCCACCCGCCTCGACGCCGCCGCGCTCCTCGCCGGCCACATTCGTCGCGTTCACTTCATCCCTCACCGCCCCGCCGGCCGGCCGCCGCCGCCGCAACATAACCACCACGGTGACTATCGGCCGCTAGATGCCTCATGGCTGCCACTTCCTCCGGCCCCTCTCCTTCACCTGCCGCCGTCGCCGCCTCCACTCCTCCCTGCCACGCGCCGATGGCGACGGCACCGAGGCGGGCGCTGCCACCGACACCACCCTCCTCGGCCGCTTCACCCGGCTCCTCCTCCTCCACCGCTTCCCCGCCGCCGAGCGCCTCCTCGCGTCGTCCTCGCCCCTCACCCCCGCCCTCCTCCAAGCCGCCCTCCGCCGCGTCCGCCTCGACCCCGACGCCGCCCTCCATCTCTTCCGCCTCGCGCCGTCCCGCCCCTCCCTCGTCTCCCACGCCCAGCTGCTCCACATCCTGGCCCGCGCCCGCCGCTTCCACGACGCCCGCGCCCTCCTCTCCTCCCTCCCTCCCCACGCCGAGCCTCTCTTTCCCCACCTCGCCGAGGTCTACAGGGACTTCACCTTCTCCGCTGTCTCCTTCGACTTGCTCCTCCGCGCCCATGCCGACGCAGGCCAGCTTTCCAGCGCCCTCAACGTGTTCGACGGAATGGGAAAGGTCGGTTGCCGCCCCTCCCTGCGGTCCTGCAATCGCTTGCTCAATAAGCTAGTGCAGTCTGGGGATCCAGGCATGGCGGCCATGGTGTATGGACAGATGCGGATTGCTGGAGTATTGCCCGATGAATTCACAGTGGCTATCATGGCAAAGGCATACTGCAGGGATGGGAGGGTGGCACAGGCAGTGGAGTTTGTGGAGGAGATGGAAGGGATGGGTTTAGAAGTGAATCTGGTGGCATATCATGCGGTGATGGATTGTTATTGTGGGATGGGATGGACCGAAGATGCGAGAAGGATATTGGAGTCGTTGCAGCGAAAGGGCTTGTCACCGAATGTGGTGACATATACCCTCCTTGTGAAGGGATACTGTAAGGATGGGAGGATGGAGGAAGCTGAGAGGGTGGTGAAGGAGATGAAGGAAACCGGGGATATTGTAGTTGATGAGGTGGCTTATGGTATGATGATCAATGGCTATTGCCAAAGGGGGAGAATGGATGATGCAACTAGGGTAAGAAATGAGATGAGGGATGCAGGGATACATGTGAACTTATTTGTCTATAACACAATGATCAATGGATTGTGCAAGTTGGGGAGAATGGAGGAAGTACAAAAAGTTCTACAGGAAATGGAGGACGTAGGGATGAGGCCGGACAAATACAGTTACAATACTCTAATAGATGGGTATTGCAGAGAGGGTTCCATGCGCAAAGCATTTGAAATGTGTCGCATGATGGTAAGGAATGGTCTTGCAGCAACTACATTGACATATAACACACTCCTGAAAGGTTTTTGCTCTCTCCATGCTATTGATGATGCACTTAGATTATGGTTTTTGATGCTGAAGAGGGGTGTGGCACCTAATGAAATTAGCTGTAGCACTTTGTTGGATGGTTTGTTCAAGGCAGGTAAAACTGAGCAGGCCTTGAACCTTTGGAAAGAAACCTTAGCAAGGGGTTTAGCAAAAAACGTAATCACATTTAATACTGTTATTAATGGGTTATGCAAGATTGGGAGGATGGCCGAAGCAGAAGAGCTTCTTGACAGGATGAAGGAATTGAGATGCCCTCCGGATAGCCTAACTTACAGAACATTATTTGATGGTTACTGTAAACTAGGTCAACTAGGTACAGCTACTCACCTTATGAATAAGATGGAGCATTTAGGTTTTGCTCCTTCAGTTGAAATGTTCAATTCTTTCATTACTGGACATTTTATAGCTAAGCAATGGCACAAGGTGAATGATATCCATAGTGAAATGAGTGCAAGGGGACTTTCTCCTAATTTAGTCACTTATGGAGCTCTGATAGCTGGATGGTGCAAAGAAGGAAATTTGCATGAGGCCTGTAACTTGTATTTTGAGATGGTTAACAATGGTATGAACCCAAATGTGTTCATATGCAGTGCGTTAATGAGCTGTTTCTATAAGGAGGGGAAGGTTGATGAGGCAAATTTGGTGCTGCAAAAACTCGTAAATATTGACATGATTCCAGGTTGCAGTATAAGCACGATTGAGATTGATAAAATATCACATGTCGTTGATACTATTGCTGATGGGAACCCTCATTCTGCAAATGTGATGTGGAATGTTATTATATTTGGGCTATGCAAATCAGGAAGGATTGCAGATGCTAAAAGTTTGTTTGAGAGTCTACGGAACAAGAGATTTCTCCCAGATAATTTCACTTATTCTAGCCTCATTCATGGTTGTGCTGCTTCTGGGTCTATTGATGAAGCTTTTAGTCTGAGGGATGTGATGTTGAGCGCTGGTCTCACTCCAAATATTATAACGTACAATTCTCTTATCTATGGCCTCTGCAAGTCTGGGAAGCTATCAAGGGCAGTTAACCTTTTCAATAAGTTGCAGTCGAAGGGTATATCGCCGAATGGTATCACATATAATACACTTATAGATGAATACTGCAAGGAAGGAAAAACAACAGAAGCTTTTAAATTAAAACAAAAGATGGTAGAGGAAGGTATTCAGCCTACCGTAATAACCTATTCTATACTGATCTATGGTTTGTGTACTCAAGGGTATATGGAAGAAGCAATCAAGTTACTGGACCAAATGATTGAGAACAATGTAGATCCGAATTATATTACATACTGTACACTGATTCATGGTTACATTAAATCTGGTAATATGGAAGAGATTTCAAAGCTTTATGATGAGATGCATATCCGTGGACTTCTCCCAACCAATTGGATTGGAAATTGGAAACGATCAGATCCTGTTGTTGTAAACAACTGGAACAGAAAAGATGGTCATATGAAGACGTACAGTCAGTGCTAGCTCATCTTTGAATATGCTTTCCATACTTGTAAGTGCTGGTCACTTGTGGATTATGTGAGAAAGCTCATGAGGGTATTGCTGACCTGAAGAGGAATCGGTAAGTGAATCCTTGCCTGGTGGGCTTGTTTAAAACCTCTATACTTTCAGCCGGTTATATTTATTTGTTGTTTATTTTTGTTGGCAATGCCATATAACAAACTGATCTTTCTATTTTAAAATACCACATTAACTTCAAAGTTTGAATTTGAAGTTCATGAACTGAAAATAGGCCTTGTACTTTTTCTCGTTTGCAACATGGTTTTCCTCTCCCTGGATAGTGCGCCTTATTTTCTTGCATGGTTCTTTCTTTTATATTCTAGACTTCTAATACTATCTCCTTCCCCAAATAAGGGATTTTGTATGCATACCATCCCTCATTTTTTTCCCGTCTATTGGTTGTTTTAGTTTGTTCGAGGAAGCTTTCCTGGATAAGGACATGCCCTAGAGGAGAACCTGGTAGCTTCAACAAAACTTTTTTATCACTAAGTACAGTGTATCCAGAAGTTCTCATGAATCATGCCAGTTGAATGCCAGCTTAAGGAAAGAATGGATTCAGATGATCCTTTTTGTGCTAAGGTGAAAACAAAAGAGAAGCAGTTGCAGAAAAGTAAGGATTTCTTGTAACTCTTTTCTACTGATTAATTTATTTGAAAACATAATTAAATTGAATGCATTTACTGTCTGTCTTTTATGAGGATACTGGCTCAAAATGCTTATTGATTTGGTGGAAAGCATGACAACTTGATGAGGACATCCTCCACTATTACCCGCTGGCAAAGACGCAAAAGTCGGGCGGCGACCGTGTGAGCCTCTGAAAAATCCCACCTTGCTTAGCTTGGGAGGAGGAAGCCACCTTTAAAGGGAGAGCCACCCTTCCCCTATCGGACTAGTCTTTTAGGGAGATTGGGCCTTTCCCCGAGTGGGTGTGCCTATGAATTGTTGGGGTCCGGGCAACCTTAATTTATTGGGCCTTGGTCAATCCCACCTGGGCCGGATTGTTATCACAACTTCTCCAATCAAAGTGATGAAGAGGACAATGTGGTACTCCTAGGTGATACAACTAGTAATTTATATCTATCAATTTTACCTAGTTGCCTAATACTTTTCAGAATGTAACTAGCTGCCTAGTTATTAATCCAATTGTTTTAATTTAATGTTTAGAAAGAATGGATTGAAGGTCTTGCAGCAAATTTCATTTCCTTTTCAATCCTAATTGCCTGACAAACTTTACATTTCAATGCAAAAAAGGATGAGGTTAAAACTTTCCAATTATGATAAGAAAAATATTGATGTTTTTGTTTCATGTGTTTACTTAAATTGTATGTAAGAACCTTTTGATGAAATCACAATTGCACTTTTGGTAAAAAAGAGTCATAATTGCACTGTTGTACTAAAGTACTCCCTCCATCCCATAATATAAGGGATATTCCCTTTTAGGTAAGATTAAGGATAGCGAGACAATACTAGAATCCCCCTATTAAATGAGATTTGCTTGTGGGTGAGTGGGTTGTTGGGGGTTAAAATAGGTAGAAATTTGAATTGAAATTGATAGATGTGACAAGTAATACACCAAAATCCCTTATATTATGGGATGGAGGGAGTAATACATAGTACTCCCTCTGCTCCGTTTTATAGGGCATATAAGTTTTTTCACAAAGAGACCAAGTTACGAGAGTGCGGCACGATTTCTTCTGGATATGTCCCGATTTCTTATGGATGTGTCCCTAATTAAGCCTTAATCCAAGGCATGCAGAATTCCTGGCTCTCCTCCCACAGTTCACACATGCATGGCTTGCTGAGTAGTTGCATGCAGATACCCAAGTGTTACATTACATGCGATCATGCGCATGCAAAACAGAAGGGCATCCTGGGAACAAATGCAGCTGAGCGCACAATACTCCCTATATTCTAGGACACTGTCAAAAAATTTATGCGCCCTATAAAACGGCACGGAGGGAGTAGTATACGACAATGCATAGAAACCATGTGCATTATGAACTATACTTTTATTTTTCTTAAATATATTCAAGTTCAATTGGATGAAAATGCCTGCGTATTTATATTCACCAAATGGCGTGTTACAATTTATTTTGTTGAAATTTGATGCAGTACCTAGTCCTGGTGCAAACTCTATAGGTTGATGTTCTTACTTTGTTCTGACTTCTGAGCAAATTGGCTCCAGAAAATTATCCACTACACTTCCGCCGAGATGTTCAAAACTACAATGACATTTTATTTAATGGCGAGTACACCCATTTTTTTTCTTACTTCCCTTATTTAGTAAACATATGTCAGGCTTTTTTTAATCCCATTTTCCAGCTGATCCAGTTCTGTGGCGAGCTGTTACATATCTCACATGGCCACTACTCCCTCTGTCCCAAAAAAAGGCAAACCGTGGGTTTCCGTGCCAACGTTTGACCGTCCGTCTTATTTAAAAAAATTATGAAAAAAATTAAAAAGATAAGTCACGCATAAAGTATTAATCATGTTTTATCATGTTTTATCATCTAACAACAATGAAAATACTAATTATAAAAAATTTTCATATAAGACGGACAGTCAAACGTTGGCACGGAAACCCACGGTTTGCCTTTTTTTGGGACGGAGGGAGTATCTTTTTCCAGTACCATTTCCTCTGAATTAAATAGCACAAAGTTCTAGGAATATAAATCAGTAGCCCTTGATTTTTTTTAAACACCCAAAGCTTCCTGTGTTAATGAAGCTTTAGTTTATTGTGCATATATTTACTGCTGAGGTTCATGAGCTTCTAAAATGCTGCATATAACAACAATATAACAAAGATTAGTGTAGTGCTAAAAATTCTCCATCTGCAAGTCATTTGTTTAAATCGAATGTAGTAACATGTGGTCAGTATGACCAGTGACCTAATAATCTCTGGGTACCTCTATCAGGTCAGTGGCTGAGACTGTTCTATAAGTGATAGAAGTATTGAGAAACCTGTATAATGTGTTATTGAAGTTAGCAGTTATCCTCTAATATGCCTCAGGAAGCTTGGGAAATAGTTTACTGTCCCACTGATTGAATTGCTAGCCCACATTTTGCTTAAGTGGTGCTATGATAAATCTGGAGTGATAGTTTAATAGATAAAGGTTCGATAAAAAAATGAATATGAATCAGCAAATGCAGGATCAAATTTTGCTTAAAGCCATATACTGTATTTTTCTATTTTCAAATACTATGTTCATACCAGGATTTTAGGTTTGTTTAAGCTAATTATCTGTCACTGTGATTGTTCATTGTTCTTACATGCAAACAGGTGAGAGCTGAAAAACAAAATTCAATTTACAGCTTGTCTTTGGTCAAAATGCTATCAGTCTAAAATTTTGATATACTGTTTAACTGAATGTCTCAAGCATTGCTCTATGTCCTTTGCTAAATGATGATGTTCCAAAACATCTTTTATCTCCTTTTCGTGAAGTATCAATTCTGTGATTAATTGATGATTTTGTTGCTAGTGACTTGATGTTTAGTATGGTTTTGTGGTAATAATATTGACAGCTATCAGAAACTTAGAATCCAGAACTTAGTTGATAGCTGATATTGCTATATTTTCCAGGAAATGTTGCCTTTGCTTCTTCCGCTCTTAAACTCGTCCTTAGTGAAGAAGTTTCTTCTACCTTTGTCCAAAGATAGATCAGCATTCAGCAAGTCCTTCTGGTGATGAAGGCTTAAAACAGACTGCCTTATCTGTTGCTCCAGTCCTAGCATTCCCTTAGTAGCTCTCCCATGTCAACACAGGTACTATTCTTTCTAATTGCCCTCAAATCTTTTATCATTTATAGTAACTTACCATCTTAACTTGTAAAGGAAACTCATTTCATGTTAAATAGTGGAAGATGACAGGCGTTTATCATATCACTGTTGAGTGATGCACATCATTTCAGCTCACATATACATTCTTGACAAAGCATTGTCTATGATGTTTTAGTGATGGTATATCAATGGAACTATGCAATCCACACCACATTTCCGATATTCGATGGTGTTTGTTTTCTGGTAAAGCTGCTACGTGAATTCTACTACTGCTTTGTTTGTTGAAGTTGAGTAATGCAATCTGGAATCCATTAAGTAAACTCTTATCCGTTTTGATATATAAGTTGCTCTGTATTGATTTGTGTTAACTATAAGTCTACATCAGCTGTTTACCTGTTGCCAGCAACTATCTTTCTAACACCTGGTTTGAACAGGGAGCAAACTATCTGACAAAAAAATGAAGTTTCAGAGCGCTTTAGTTCATAGTTGGTTTCAAGTTCAAAATATGAGCAGACTAGATTGATATACTCTTGTTTGTTTCACAGAGATTGCATTGTGCGCCTTATGATATAGGAGTAGCTTTTAGGTCGGAGGACGCTATTTATCATCACGTCTGATCTGAAGACCTGAAAAATCACAAGCCAACTCACACCAAGAAAATCACAAATCTACTCGTACAGATTCCAGCCTCGCGTCGAGTGTTTAGTTAAATGTGAATGTTACATGACAGCAGATCAGTGTACAGTATATATTACTATTAATTTTATTTGATTTGATGTAATTCCGATTCCTGCAGTCTTGTGTAATGCCCTGACCTGGTATACTCCCTCTGTCCATAAATATAAGCATCTTATGAGTTTTGGCATGGATTAATGTTGAGATAAAATTACTTTAATGCCCCTGGGAGTTTTATTGGAAAATATCATGCCTAGCAATGCAATAAACAGTGGAATTGAAGGGAATTTCGAGTGGTTGGATTGGGAAATTACAAGGGGTGGTTGGATTGGAAAAGCAGTACTTTTAAAAGTTTATCGATAAATTTTAAATGCTACTTCCTCCGTTTCACAATGTAAGTCATTCTAACATTTTTCACATTCATATTAATGTTAATGAATCTAGACATTAATATGAATGTGAGAAATGTTAGAATGACTTGTGAAACATGCTAGAATGATTTACATTGTGAAACGGAAGGAGTAGAAATGGTTATATTTGTGAATGGACAGAGGGATTATTCAAGATAATCCATCGACATTAGCTAGCCTCTCATGTTACGTACTGTACGAGACCCTCGTGTACAGACTACTGATGCATACTGTTGTGTGATTCAGATTAATGGCACGGATGCGCGATGAGATTCAGATATTCTCGCAAGGAAAATCATCAGGATGCCGTTGATTGACAGTTGGCGCTGAACTGGGTTCACTCTCCTCCCGCCAAATCCCGTCCACCCGCTGCCGCCCATCCGTATCCCGAAACCCCATCGCCTCCGCTCCCCTCCGCGCCATCGTCGTAGGCTAGTAGCTCTCCCTGGTCGGCGGCGATGGACGCCACCGGCCGCGGGGTTTTCCCCAACAAGCCCGCCCTCCCTGCCGGCCCCAAGAAGCGCCCCCCTCCGCACACGGTGCTCCTGCCGGCCACGCCGCCGCCGCCGCCGTCGCGCTCCTCGCTCCCGCTCGACTCGCTTCTCCTCCACCTCACCGCGGCCCCGCCGCCGCCGCAGCCGCCGGCCACGCGCCGGCCGCATCCCACCCCGACCCCGCCGCACTCCTTCCTCTCCCCCGCCGCGCAGTCCCTCGTGGCCGCTATCTCCTCGCAGCCGCTCCCCTCGCTCCCGGCTTTCCTCTCCTCCCGCCGTGACGAGCTGCTGCGCTCTGACCTCCCCTCCCTCCTCAAGGCGCTCGAGCTCTCTGGCCACTGGGAGTGGGCTCTCGCGCTCCTCCGCTGGGCCAGCGACGAGGGCGCCGCCGATGCCGCGGCGCTCGAGATGGTCGTCCGCGCGCTCGGCCGCGAGGGCCAGCACGACGTCGTCTGCGACCTGCTCGACGAAATGCCGCTCCCGCCCGGATCACGCCTGGACGTCCGCGCCTACACCACGGTGCTTCACGCGCTCTCCCGCGCGGGCCGGTACGAGCGCGCGCTCCAGCTGTTCGCCGAGCTCCGGCGCCAGGGGGTGGTGCCCACGATCGTCACCTACAACGTCGTGCTCGACGTGTACGGCCGGATGGGGCGCTCGTGGCCGCGTATCGTCGCTCTACTGGAGGAGATGCGTGCCGCCGGCGTCGAGCCCGACGACTTCACTGCCAGCACAGTGATCGCGGCATGCGGCCGTGATGGCCTCCTTGATCAGGCGGTCGCCTTCTTTGAGGACCTCAAGGCCCGTGGCCACGTCCCGTGCGTTGTCACATACAATGCACTCCTGCAAGTGTTTGGCAAGGCCGGGAACTACACTGAGGCGCTGCGGGTGCTCAAGGAAATGGAGGATAGTGGCTGCCAGCCGGATGCCGTCACATACAATGAGCTCGCCGGGACATATGCCAGGGCTGGGTTCTTTGAGGAGGCTGCCAAGTGCCTTGACACAATGACCAGCAAGGGATTATTGCCTAACACATTCACGTACAATACTGTCATGACGGCATACGCGAATGTCGGTAGGGTGGATGAAGCACTAGCTCTGTTTGATCGAATGAAGAAGAATGGGTATGTTCCGAATGTGAACACCTACAATCTTATCTTTGGTATGCTGGGGAAGAAATCAAGGTTCACCGCGATGCTGGAGATGCTTGAGGAGATGTCAAGGAGTGGATGCACACCGAATCGGGTCACCTGGAACACGATGTTGGCCGTCTGTGGGAAGCGGGGTATGGAGGACTATGTCACCAGGGTACTCAACGGGATGAAATCTTGTGGGGTTGAGCTGAGCCGAGATACCTACAACACACTGATATCTGCCTATGGTCGATGTGGTTCGAGGACCTATGCTTTTAAGATGTATGATGAAATGATCAGTTCTGGCTTCACCCCTTGCCTCACCACATACAATGCTTTGCTGAATGTGCTGTCAAGACAAGGTGATTGGTCCACTGCTCAGTCCATAGTAAGCAAAATGCTGAAGAATGGTTTCAAGCCGAATGATCAGTCATATTCACTACTGCTCCAGTGCTATGCAAAGGGTGGCAATGCAGCTGGGATAGAGTCTATCGAGAAAGAAGTTTATGTCGGTACAATTTTTCCTAGTTGGGTTATCTTGCGGACACTTGTGATCGCAAACTTCAAGTGCCGTAGATTAGAAGGGGTTGAGAAGGCATTTCAAGAGGTAAAGGCACAGGGTTACAAGCCTGATCTTGTCATATTCAACTCCATGCTTGCAATGTATGCAAAGAATGGATTATATAGCAAGGCCACAGAGATGTTCGATTCAATAAAGCAGAGTGGGCTGAGCCCTGATCTAATCACTTACAACAGCTTAATGGACATGTATGCCAAGTCCAATGAGTCTTGGGAAGCTGAGAAAATACTTAAACAGCTCAAAAGTTCTCAGGTGAAGCCTGACGTTGTGTCATATAACACCGTCATAAACGGATTCTGCAAGCAAGGTCTGATCAAAGAAGCTCAGAGGATCCTATCTGAGATGATTGCTGATGGCATGGCTCCATGTGTTGTAACCTATCACACACTAGTTGGAGGATACGCCAGCCTGGAGATGTTTAATGAGGCAAGAGAGGTTGTCAACTACATGATTCACCACAACTTGAAGCCTATGGAGCTGACATACAGGAGAGTAGTCGACAGTTACTGCAAAGCCAAGCGGTATGATGAGGCCCGTGAGTTCCTGTCTGAAATTTCAGATACTGACCAAAATTTTGATCAGAAGTTGCAGCACATGCTTGAAGCCCGTATAAAGGATGCTCAATTTGGAAGATAAGCTACTATGCCAACGTGTATCATCTTATGTCATTTTTATCTTTGTGTGCTCTTCAAGGATATGGAGTTTCCAAGTTTTGATAGGGAAGTCAGTGTAGTATTACTTGTGAAGAGCCTGCATTTGCCATGGGTGGCACGCTACTGCACCAAATGGTGCCGCACAACGTCAAATTAAATGGATTTTCCTCTCATCTTCAACAGGTGTACAGTGTACTTCTGAAGTCACATTCGCGGTGCCTAAGTACAGAATCTGGTAGATTGTCCGATTGTTTTGAAGAGTCAAGATTGATTTGATCTAGTGCAACTTAATCGGTTAGCAGCATTATCAATTTCTTATGGACTGGATTGTCCATGTGTTTTTCGATTTTCAGGTCACTTGTTTATGCTTGAATGGTTTCTATAGGGCTAACCTGTTTATAAAAAAAAAATGTAGAATACCATGTTTTTTTTGACGCAATAGAATACCGTGTTAGACTTTTGAACTATCCATTGATAATGATAATAAAGTCTATATTGGAGTAATAAATTGCCTTAAATGTAAACAAACACAGTTATGTGTGCTATTTCAGATGGTGTTCTCTCCCTACAATCTCCTGCTTTTCCATGCATCGTGTTTTGTTGGGCTGAATCAGTTGTTCAACATTGAGATAGATAAGTTACTTTGAATCCACTGATCTGTTTTGTTCAGAAAAGAATCCACTGCAATCTCAAATATTATGTTTCCACTTAAATGCACTGTATTTTATTCTCTATCTATTCCAAAGTCCAAACTGTTTTCGGAGCTAGTACCGTTATCTTTTCAGGTTAACAAGCCAACTATCCCACTAGGAGCTGGAGCTGGAGCTGCACTTGTATCAGCCTTTGCTACTATGGTAAATAAACTTAGTCAAGAAAATAAAACAAATTCCACTTACTATGTATGCAGATCATTTTTAAATATATGGGATCATGAAATCTTGAAAACTGGTACCTCAAATACATTATCTTTTTAGTTGTTGGACAATTATTTTTTAATGTTAGCCTCTATAACCAGTGCCTTTTCATTTCCAAAGAGAAAAGGTAGCACCATAAAGATAAAAGTTTCACATATGGTTGAGCAGGCACTCCATAAGATGTTTTAATTAATATATGCAAATAACTAGTCTAATGAACTTTGTTTGTACTTTATGCAGTTGTGCTAATTTATCAAGAGCTTTAGGTAATTTGTTTATTTTATTTCTCGGTCTGTCAGAATGACATGTTCCATGTGTGTTGCAGACTGCATTGCGTCACCGCAGAGCTTTGGCCGTAGATAGTTATTGGATTGGAGCGTGGCTCTTTTTATTACCATTATTCTGGGAACCACATATTCGATCAATGTAAAAGAACACATTTCTTTATTTCTTGATTTTGTTTTTTTTTAAATTAACTAAGAATAGTGCAACCAATTATTTTTGTGTTCATATTATTTTTGTGCAATGCGGAACTTTAATAGGGAATAGAGCAACTTCTGTCTATTTTGCAAGGAATATATCTCCAATTATAAAACCACATATAACATATTGTCGAAACATGCTATGTTGGAATATTCCTAAATAGTATTCGGTTCTCCTTGCAGTGTACTTTTTGGACCTCTATATATGTTTATATGTTTACTTGAAAAGGAAAAGAAAATGGAATGGATGCTTTGACATGCAGTTGTATTTTTGTTTCCTGCATTACTTTTAGTATTTAACGGTTTTGATCATGAAGTTAGCATTTACCTACACTTTTATGACCAAAGAGCTGACATTTCATTTGAGAAAAAAAGCAGTTGTAATTACATTTTTTTTCTTGTGACATCCCATTTTGTTCATCTACAGCTGCCATCCTTGAGATGGAAGAGATTTGCTGTTGTTGCAGCACTCTGTATACTAGCAGACTAGCAGTCTGCAATAATAGTTCAGTGGGCATTTTTAGTCTTTCAGTGTCAGTTTTTTTTTTAGGGTCAGCGACTGCTTTTCAACTAAGAAAAACCACTAGTGAAAAATTAGGTTTGCCAATCTTAGGCCCTGTTTGGATACGGGCATGGTTGTTGAGGCGTCGCTATAGCGTCGCCATGGCGTCGCTAAGGCGTCATGGCGTTCGGCGACCTCTAGGGCGTCCTGTCGCCATAGGCTTCTCTGCCTTACAGGCATGAACTGAAGGAGAGGGTAAGAGGAGAGGGGAAAAGTACAATGTCTTGCTGCTGGTCCTCCCTGGCTGCGTCCTTTCTCCTTCTTGTGCTGATGGGGAGTAGAAGGACTGCTGCTGTTGTGCCATATGAGAGAGAAAAGGTGGAGGAGAGGAAGCTGCTGGCTATAAGAAGTGAGAGAGGATAGGAGGATGGTCTGCTTGCTGCATCGAAGAGAGAGAGAGAGAGAGAGAAAGATGGATGAGAGGAGCTTTGTTGCAGTGCTGCATGATGGGGGGAGAGAGATCGATGTAGATGAAGTGGCGGCTGCTGGGTAGGATTAAATTGCTGCTTGCTAGGTCAAGAGAGGAAAGTAGTGGGCCTAGGCTAGGTAAGTGCTTGAATGGACCACTATTGGGCTGGGCTGTGATGAATAGAGTACCTATTAGTGTATTTACAGCTCATATTTCTTATTCTTTCTATCTTTTCACTACACGTAAGGCGTTGCCACGCCATACGCCTTATCACTATAGCGGTAAGGCGGTGGTGGGTTGTCATACCTTACCATACCGCCTTAATAACCTTGGATACGAGGACTAATTTTTAGTCCCTGTCACATCGGATGTTTGGGCGCTAATTAGGAGTATTGAACATATAAATGATAAAACCCATTCCATAGCCCTGGACTAATTCGCGAGACGAATCTATTGAGCTTAATTAATCCATGATTAGCCTGTGTGATGCTACGGTAAACATGTGTTAATATGGATTAATTAGGCTTAAAACATCCGTCTCGCGAATTAACTCTCATTCATGCAATTAGTTTTATTATTACTATATGTTAAATACTCTAAATTAGTGTCAAACATCTGATGTGACAAGGACTAAAGTAGTCTATGATCCAAACACCACCTTAGTTATATTCTCATATGGATTATTCTATAAAACTAGATTTTATGGTCTGCTTAATTACGAGGTGTTGTCTCGTTGTACTTTAGAGACTCCTTGTTTTCGCTACCCACCCCAATTTGGATATCCTTACTAACAGAAAGATAATTATTGATAATGGGCTGGTATGCTTCTGAATTAGTTAGTTGCGACAGTAGTATGTGTTGTTTGCAGCTAAGCCATAGGCCTGTTGTGGCCTTGCTGTATTCATCCGTGGTTTTCTTTATTGTTGTCTTTGTGTTTATTCATCTGTGTTTTTCTTATTTGTCATGCAGCCTAGCTATTAGCTTCAGTATGTTTAATGTGATAAGCATTTTCATTGTCAAAAAAAAAATCTTTACTTGTATATAGTTATACTTGCTGTGCATATAATTATGATGATTTGCCATTTCTTATGGCTCATTTGTTGATTTTCTTACAAGTTTGGATTGTTCCTAAAACTGATTAGGTAGATGGATGCAAAGACCACGGATAGAAGATCAGATCCTGATGATAGTCCAGCAGTCCCGGTAGAAACAAATTAGAGGTCTTGCAATGCCACAAATATTGAAGGTTGGGAAAAGCCAAAGATGAGGAAAAAACGTTCTGCTATTATGGCAGACAAACATATTCTATCATCCCTTCATGTTTTATTGTGTTGATTCTCTGTTAACTCGGACCTTTATTCTGCTTGAGTTTATGTTATGAACAACCTGACCTACCATATTGCATAGCATAGACATGGTAATTCTGAAACAGGTTATCTTTCCAAACATTCAAACATTGGTAAAGCAGATTTACTTTCTGGAATCACGATCAAAGGAAAGACAATAGCACGAAGTCAGATAGTTAATACCAACTATGAATAACACCCTGAAAATGCCAAATCATGAGATATTCGATAACTGAATAATTCTTTCTCTCATCACAAGAAAATAGACAGATAATTAATGTCTGCAAGGGACAGATTCCACTGTAACGAAACACCAAAGCACATAAGCTTAACGGTAGCGACGAAGAGAGACGGTCTGGTTGCGCTTCCAGGTGGCCCTGCGGGAAGGTCTGGCCTTGTGGTGAGTGTGGCCTTTGCCGCGCAGGCCACGGTACTTCTTGCCAGCAGAGGTGAGGCCACGGAGCTCACGGTGCTTGTGCACAGGCTTGCAGAGCCAGTTGATCCTTGGGTCATTGCGGATAGCGCTGTGAGCAACATCCACAAGGATGATCTCAAAGTACTTGTAGGTGGAGTCCTACATTAAGCCAATGAAAACAAAGGAATTAATGAAAAGCAGCTGAAATTTTTTTTGCCATCTTCCGCAAGATCCCAGTGAAATCAAATATACCTCATTCACCCAGTAGGAGTTGAGCACCCTGAGTCCACCCAGCTTGCGTCCAGCTCTCTCCTCAGCAACTGACCTCTTGTTCCTCTGGAACTTGAGCTGGGTAATACCCTGGTGCTTGGGCTTGCCATAGACAATACCCTTGGGCACTGGCCTCTTCCTGCCACCACGCCTGACGCGAACACGGTAAACCACATAGCCCTGAAAGCAAGGTCAAAAAATAGTTATGCACAATATTTGGATTATAGGGCCAAAACATTCAAAAGTGAATCAGACAGCAGCATGTGAATACATTTTGGCTAAACAATTGGAGCAACCATACAAAATTGTGCTAGAGTATCATTAGCAAACTAATAGTACAAACAACACAATACAGTTTTATCAACCTTGAGCATTAAATTGCTAAATGCTACATAATCAATGCAGTATAAACACAGACAACCAATGTACCATGTCAATTCCAAGTAAAATAACACATCAAAACATGTCTTTTGTAAGACAAATACAATCACAAGGAATGTTAATACATTGACAAAGGCATCCCTTTAAAATGTAGTAGAGAACCTAAGCTACTGCAGTGATACAATCAAATGAAAATGGCGCATTAAGCGCCACTATAAAAAACTAAACCGGTGGTTAACTGATGCTCTGCCTGCTAACATATGGCGGATCTAGGTTAAGTAGATAAAAAACAGCACGACAAAACTAAACTTCCATTTCCAGAAACCAGACCAGTCCTTCAACTTGCATTGAAGGCATACAAGCAGAATTAATAAAATAAATGGCTCTACACATTTTCCGCATTCACGATGATCGGCTGGACCTGCAAATCTATCTAAAAATCTCTACAAATTAGACGGCTACCAGCAGCAACCAAGGCGAAATCCATCGTCGATTGATACAGATCCGCGGGCACAGTAGTAAGAGCGAGAGAGGGGGACAGTCTAGTAAGAAGAAGGGAAGCGACCTGCTTGGCCTTGTAGCCGAGGCGGCGGGCCTTGTCGGGGCGGGTGGGGCGGGTGAGGCGGACGATGGCCGGCTGCTGGCGGTACTCCCAGCAGCGCACGCGCTGCACGAACCTCATCACGTCCGACTGCTTCCTCCTCCATAGCTCCGACACGTACTTGTACGCCCCTGCACCTCGCAGCAAAAACCGGGCGCATCAGAAGAGAGGAGAGATGTAGGGGGAGGTCGACGAGGAACAGGCGGAGGAGGAGGAGGAGCTCACCCATGTCTCTTGCTGCGGCGGCGGCGGCGGCGGAGGTGGAGCGGGAGAGAGAGGCTGGTAGGGTTTGCGTGGATGCGCGTGGTGGAGGAGGTTAGATAGAGGAGGTTTACGGTTGTAGGCCTGGGGAATGGGTCGCTGATGGGCCATATTTGGGCCATAGGTGCAGTGAGCCCTACCAGAATGAGCCCAGCAGCCTGCTGCTCCTTTTCAGCCTGCCCCGCCGTTAGGAATAAGTTCATATGAGGCCCCTCAACGAATACGATTTTCGTCGTTCAACCAGAATCCAGAAACCGGTGCAATACAGGTCTCATGATGGTTTGGATGGCTTTTTTTTTTTTTCTTACGTGGCTTATTTGACCCGGTCTTCATCTGACGTGGCGTTGACGTGGCATTGACATAGCAATTTATTTGGAAATTAATAAAAAAGAGTGACCCCACATGTCAGTTACATAAAAAAGATAATTTTAAAATGGTGGGGCCCACGTGGGCCCCACATGTCATTCTCCACCCTACCCTTCTTCCTCATCTCTCCCCATCTCTCCTCTCCTCTCTCCAGGCGCCACGGGAGATTCGGCGGCGGCGGCGACGCAAGGGAAGGGGAGGGCGTCGGCGACGGGAGAGCTGGGTGAGGGCCGCGGGCAGAGTGGTGGCCGAGGTGGTCGGAGGAGGTCGCCGGCGAGCGCGGTAGCAGCAGGAGTAGGGAGTATGCGGCCGTCTCATCGCCTCCGGAGCCCAAGCGCCTCCTGCCACGAGCTCGTCAGCTGGAAGCGCACTTCGGCCTCTGCTGCATCTCCGTCGAGCAGCCCAGAGGAGGAGGAGTGGGACTTCTTGGCGAGGTGGCGGTCAAGCAGCTCATCGATGGTGTCGGGCCTCTCGCGGATGGATCAGACCGGCAGCCGCCGCCTCAACACGGCCAGGCCACGAAGATGAGACCGACGACCTCACCCTCCGTCTTAGACTCCGCCGCCACCACACTTGCCGGCACAGGTGTCGGCCATGAGCTCCTCGTCTCGATTGGCCACCTCCAAAGCCTCGCTCGTCGCACTCGTCGGCGACCTCCTCCTCCGGCCACCTTTGCTGCCGCCGCTCAGCCCGCGGCCTGCCGATGCTCCGCCCCCCCCCCCCCCCACCACGCCTAGCGCTCCCGCCACCGATGCCCTCCCCTTCTCTTGCGTCGCCGCCAACTGCCGAACCTCCGTGGCGCCTAGAGAGAGAAGAGGGGAGAGAGTTGAAGAGAGGGGGATGGGGAGAGATGAGGAAGAAGGGTAGGGTGAGAATGACCAACTTTTTTAATTATTTTTTGTGTAACTGACATGTAGGGTCACTCTTTTTTATTAATTTTTAAATAAATTGCCACGTCAATGCTACATCAATGCCACGTCAGATGAAGACCAAGTCAATTAAGCCAGGTAGGTGCCACATAAGGAAAAATTGTAGATGAGGGACCCGTTATGAGACCTATATTACACCGGTTTTAACAGATGAGGGACCCGTTGTATCTGGTTTTCTAATTGAAGGACGAAAATCGGATTCGTTGATAAGTTAAGGGACCTCAGATGAACTTATTCCCCGCCGTTACATATTTTGAACACAAATTACTTATGAATAAGTTCACTTGAGGTCCCTCAATTTATCATCCTCTGATTTTCATCCCTGATTCAAAAAAAAAAAAGATACAACCCATCCCTTAACTTACAAAACTAAGGTCTCTCGGCAGTATTGTGTTCGGTTTTGGCTAACGCGGTACCTTTGTACCACGTGGAATTGACGTGGCGCTTACGTGGTTGTTTGATCCGAAAAAAATAAAAGGAACAAAATTAAAAACTGGAAAAATAAAACAAAATACGCGAGACCCATACGTTAGCCAAACAACAAATAGAGGGACCCACATGTCAGTGGGTCCTACTTCCTCCCCCTCACCCTCTTCCCCTCCCTTCCATCCTATCCCGCTCCCACAACGGCGGCTGCCCATGGCTGCGGTGTTGAAGCGGGTGCCCGCCGGCCACCTGTGACTTGTGGCTCCAAGAACGCCGGTGATGACAAGAGAAAGAGGGAGAGGAGCGCAGTGAGGACTGCGAGCACGGTGGGTGGCGGGATAGGAGCAAACGTGGTCCTTCGGCTATGGCTCCGCCGCCTCCACACCACCCACGTTTCTGTGCTGAGGAGGACTGACCGGCCCCGCCGTCCTCCGCTCCTGCCCCGTCTCCTACCGCCTCCATCCTTGCCACGCGGGAAATGCGGCTTAGCTTCAACCGCGCCATGAGCACATGTCACAGACGACGACGATCCAGTTGCCTCCCCTCTCACCCCGCTCCCCTCCTCCTCTTCCACCACGCCACGATCACATGCCGCGGACAACGACGACCTGGTTGCCTCCCCTCTCACCCCGCTTCCCTCCTCCTCCTCCACCGCGCCACGATCACATGCCGTGGACAACGACGATGACGACGACCGACAGGGAGAGGGGCGGCGGCCATCGGGGAGAAGGGCGATGACCCGCGGGAAGGAGCTAGGCGACAGGCGCGACATCACCGAGCTCGACTATTGCGGAGAGGTTGCCGGACCTCCGCTCCCGCCTCGCTGCCAGGCCGCCACCTTGCTCGCATCTCCTCCAGCTGCTGCCGGATTCCCTCTCGCCGTCGTTGAGAGAGGAAGGATGGGCCGAGGCAATGGTGGACACAGCTTTAAAATATAGATGGGGTAGGGAACAAAGATGTTTACTTGATAAGAGCAATCGAACATAACACATACCATATTTATAGTTCAATCGCATAATTGCCTCGATCATTGTTTACGGCGTGCATCCATTGTGAAGAGATGGACTAATTTGTTGGACATTCACACCTTGTTATACCTAATTTTGATGGCCTATGACTATTATAAGAGGGTAGGGAGGGTCTTAGGGGTGTGAGGCGACACGGGTCATAGCTGGGACGGTTGACCCACCCTGCCTAATGGGTAGATCCGCCCTTGGGCTGAGGGAGAGGGGAGAAGGAGGCGCCGGCGCCGATGTCGTCGCCATGGAGATAGAGAGGAGGGATGTGGGTCCCACCATTTTTTTATCTTATATCTGACTAACATGTGAGCCTCACATTTTTTATTTTTATTTTTTATATTTATATTTTGCTTTCAGTGCCACATCACTGCCTTGTAGGATGAGGACCAAGTCAAACTAGCCACATAGGCACCACATCAGCCAAAACAGCCATCCAAACCACCGAGGTATCTTGTTTGCACTGGTTTTGTAAGTTGGGGGATTAGTTGTATTTGGTTTTGGGGTGTAAGGACAAAAATCAGACTGGCGACAAATTGAGGGACTTCAAGTGAACTTATTCCAGATTGACCAAAGTCAGGCATTAAACAATGCTTTCATATAATAATACAACATTATTATAGTAATAAAAAGAGATTTACCATACAGTACTCTAGCCGACTAGGACCGCACTCATGGCCTTGCTGTGGACCTACGGTAGTACTATCTAGGAGTATCCAACTAGGACAACACTCACGCCTCGCTACTTAGAGCATGAAGCAGTACGACTCATGTCTGGATTGTGCACTGAGTGAAAAGTACTATACAGTATACTGCACCGAACGATGCAACAACATTCAGGGAACCAGTTCTGATCCGGGTGTGTGATGTGAGTGTACATAGTTGATTGTGTTGACTGTAACGCATGCACATGGCACTGTGGGACATGGAACTGATGGAGCTGTGAGTGTACAGTTGCGTATAATGCATGCACATGGTGCTGTGGGACGCTCCTATCAGAACTGCTTGTATTATTCGGACCAAGCAGTAACAATTAGTATGCATATAGCCCACACGATACTATCGGACCAAGCAGCAGTCATTACATGCACATAACCATACGGTACTATGGAACCAAGCAATGATTGATTACTTCATGTAATGGCTGGTCCATTTACCAATTCTCGTTTTACCACCAAGGACTATCGGAACCAAGCAAGCCATTGATTGCTACACAATGCCTACCCTCCTGTTATCATTCTCATATCTCTCAGAGAGATTATTGCAGCAAGCAAAACTATCGGAACCAAGCAGAAACCAAGCAAGCCATTGATTGTTACACAGTACCTACTCTCCTTCTACCATTCTGTATCTCTAAGAGAGATAGATGTTGGACGTGACAGGTCATTGCTACGGATGTCACTACACACATAATAAAGAACTGCCTTTTTATCAATTTTGTCTCCTTCTACCATTCTCATGTATTTCTAAGAGAGATGAGTTGTTAGACGTAACAGGTCATTGCTATGGGTGTCACTACACACATGATAAGAGCTGTCTTTTTACCAATCTCGTCGATCTCTCGCTCTCACCTCACTAGGATAGCAGTAAAATAAAGAAAAGCTATGCATAGTACCTATTTTAGCCACAAAGTAACTAAATGTTAGACGTAATACGTTACCAGCGCCCATCCCCGGCGTGGCGATCAGAACGCATTGCTCCGGCTGCCACTTCACATGATAAGGACTGCCTTACCAATCTTGTCGATTTTTAGCTCTCACCTCACATGATTCATGCTGTTTGGATGTACTGGGTCTCCAAGACTGCAAATACTGCATTGATAAGATGATCATCCAGCCCAAATTAATTGAACATGATCATCATTGCCACCTTCCTGATTATCATATACTCTTCCATTTTCTTGAATATGCTCCCTATTGCCATCTTCATGATTGTCATACTGATACGGTATATGATCAGATCATGAATCCACACAATTAATGCAAATTCTAGTGTGGAGACTAGGGGGCACATGCCCCCTACCCCTTGGAACAAGTGGAGCTCCTTTATTTTTCTCTCGCTCATAATGTACTTTTCATTATTCCTTAATGTTTTCATATGAAATTGTTTTAAACTATAATGTTGGTGTAGTATAAGACATAATGAGCTTGAGCTTATGTTGGTGTACTAATATAGTATGTTTAGTGCCCCCACCCCAAATATTTTTTCCTAGATCCATGCCTACACACAATGTGATTGTCACATGCCACGGTTAATATATTTTCATCTACATGTGTGCTTCAAGGTTGATAAGCTTGTCACATGCCACAGTTAATATATTTTCATCTACATGTGTGCTTCAGGGTTGATAAGCTGGCGCTGGGAAATTGGACTTGCAGGATGATGTTGTTGGGCATGCTATTGTGCGTAGGTGGGACTGTGACGGTGATCGCGGGTTGTTGCGTACGTGGCCTACAAACCTACTCAAATCCAACGTCTGGAAACTAGTGAACTTCACTGGCCCTCACCATGACATGGTTGTAGGTACAATT